ATCAGAAATCTTCCAACATACAAAAGTCCAGGACCAGATGGCTTCACAGGTGAGTTCTACCAAAAATTTAGAGAAGAATGAACACATATCCTACTCAAACTCTTCCAGAAAATTGAAGAGGACGGTAAACTCCCAAACTCATTCTATGAGGCCACCATCACCCTAACACCAAAACCAGACAAAGATGCGCCAAAAAGAGAAAACTACAGGCCAGTATCACTGATGAACATAGATGCAAAAATCCTTAACAAAATTCTAGCAAACAGAATCCAACAACATATTAAAAAGATCATAAATCATGACCAAGTGGGCTTTATCATGTAAGGAATCTTTAATATCCACAAATCAATCAGGTGATACATCGCATTAACAAAAGATAAAAACCTCATGATTATCTCAATAGATGCAGAGAAAGCCTTCGACAAAATTCAACATCCATTTATGATAAAAACCCTCCAGAAAGCAGACATAGAAGGAACATACCTCAACATAATAAAAGCCACATATGATAAACCCACAGCAAACATTATCCTCAATGGTGAAAAATTGAAAGCATTTCCCCTAAAGTCAGGAACAAGACAAGGATGCCCACTCTCACCACTACTATTCAACATAGTTTTGAAAGTTTTGGCCACAGCAATCAGAGCAGAAAAAGAAGAGGAATCCATATTGGAAAAGAAAAAGTAAAACTCTCACTGCAGATGACATGACCCTCTACATAGAAAACCCTAAAGACTCCACCAGAAAATTACTAGAACTAATCAATGAATACAGTAAAGTTTCAGGATATAAAATTAACACACAGAAATCCCTTGCATTCCTATACACTAACAATGAGAAAACAGAAATTAAGGAAACAATTCCATTCACTTTTGCAACGAAAAGAATAAAATACTTAGGAATAAATCTACCTAAAGAAACAAAAGACCTACGTATAGAAAACTATAAAACACTGATGAAAGAAATCAAAGAGGACACAAACAGATGGAGAAATATACCGTGTTCATGGATTGGAAGAATCACTATAGTGAAAATGGCTATACTACCCAAAGCAATCTATAGATTCAACGCAATCCCTATCAAGCTACCAACGGTATTTTTCACAGAACTAGAACAATTTCACAATTTGTATGGAAATACAAAAAACCTAGAATAGCCAAAGCAATCTTGAGGAAGAAGAATGGAACTGGAGGAATCAACCTGCCTGACTTCAGGTTATACTACAAAGCAACAGTCATCAAGACAGTATGGTACTGGCACAAAGACAGAAACATAGATCAATGGAACAAAATAGAAAGCCCAGAGGTAAACCCACACACCTGTGGACACCTTATCTTTGACAAAGGAGGCAAGAATATACAATGGAGGAAAGACAATCTCTTTAACAAGTGGTGCTGGGAAAACTGGTCAACCACTTGTAAAAGAATGAAACTAGAACACTTTATAACACCATACACAAAAATAAGCTCAAAATGGATTAAAGATCTAAATGTAAGACCAGAAACCATAAAACTCCTGGAGGAAAACATAGGCAAAACACTGCCAGCATAAATCACAGCAGGATCCTCTATGACCCACCTCTCAGAGTAATGGAAATAAAAGCAAAAATAAATGGGACCTAATTAAACACTTTTGCACAATGCAGGAAACTATAAGCAAGGTGGAAAGACAGCCTTCAGAATGAGAGAAAATAATAGCAAATGAAGCAACTGACAAAGGATTAATCTCAAAAATATACAAGTAGCTCCTGCAGCTCAATTCCAGAAAAATAAGTGACCCAATCAAAAAAATGGGTCAAAGAACTAAACAGACATTTCTCCAAAGAAGACATACGGATGGCTAACAAACACATGAAAAATGCTCAGCATGACTCATTATCAGAGAAACGCAAATCAAAAACCACAATGAGGTACCATCTCACGCCGGTCAGAATGGCTGCTATCAAAAAGTTTACAAACAATTAATGCTGGAGAGGGTGCAGAGAAAAAGGAACCCTCTTACACTGTTGGTGGGAATGCAAACTAGTACAGCCGCTATGGAGAACAGTGTGGAGATTCCTTAAAAAATTGGAAATAGAACTGCCATATGACCCAACAATCCCACTGCTGGGAATACACACTGGGGAAACCACAATTGAAAGAGACACATGTACCCCAGTGTTCATCGCAGCACTGTTTACAATAGCCAGGACATTGGCAGACAATTGGATAAGAAAGCTATGGTACATATACACAATGGAATATTACTGAGCTATTTAAAAGAATGCATTTGAATCAGTTCTAATGAGGTGGATGAAACTGGAGCCTATTATACAGAGAAAAGTAAGTCAGAAAGAAAAACACCAGTTCAGTATACTAATACATATATATGGAATTTAGAAAGATGGTAACAATGACCCATATGCGAGACAGTAAAAGAGACACAGATGCAAAGAGCAGACTGTTGGTCTCTGTGGGAGAAGGCAAGGGTGGGATGATTTGAGAGAATAGCATTGAAACATGTATATTATCATATGTGAAACTAATCGCCAGTCCAGGTTCGATGCATGAGACAGGGTGTTCAGGGCTGGTGCAGGGATGACCCTGAGAGATGGGATGGGGAGGGAGGTGGGAAGGAGGGTCAGGATGGGGGAACACATGTACACCCATGGCTGATCCTGTGAACGTATGGCAAAAACCACCACAATATTGTAAAGTAATTAGCCTCCAGTTAAAATTAGAACATAATAAAATGAAAACCATAGCTTTGATTAGACAGACCTTTGTTGGCAAAGTAATGTCTCTGCTTTTTAATATGCTGTCTAAGTTGGTCATAACTTTTCTTCCAAGGAGCAAGAACCTTTTAATTTCATGGCTGCAGTCACCATCTGCAGTGATTTTGGAGCCCCCCAAAAATAAAGTCTGTCACTGTTTCCATTGTTTCCCCATCTGTTTGCCATGAAGTGATGGGACCAGATGCCATGATCTTATTTTTCTGAATGTTGAATTTTAAGCCAACTTTTTCACTCTCCTCTTTCACTTTCATCAGGAGGCTCTTTAGTTCTTCACTTTCTGCCATAAGGGTGGTGTCATCTGTATATCTGAGGTAATGATATTTCTCTTGGCAATCTTGATTCCAGCTTATCTTCATCCACAGCATTTCTCATGATGTACTCTGCATATAAGTTAAATAAGCAGGGTGACAGTATACAGCCTTGACATACTCCTTTCCTGATTTGGAACCAATCTGTTGTTCCATGTCCAGTTCTAACTGTTGCTTCTTGACCTGCATACAGATTTCTCAGGAGGCAGGTCAGGTGGTCTGGTATTCCCACCAATTGAAGAATTTTCTAGTTTTTTGTGATCCACACAGTCAAAGGCTTTGGCATAGTCAATAAAGCAGAAGTAGATGTTTTACTGAAACTTTCTTGCTTTTTTGATGATCCAGAAGATGTTGGCAGTTTGATCTCTGGTTCTCTGCCTTTTCTAGATCCAGCTTGAACATCTGGAAGTTCATGGTTCATGTACTGTTGAAGCCTGACTTGGAGAATTTTGAGCATTACTTTACTAGCGTGTGAGATAAGTGCAATTGTATGGTAGTTTCAACATTTTTTGGCATCGTCAGTCTCCATTAATTGTGTTGTAAGTCTGTAATTTCATTAGAACTCACAGCATGGTGATATTTCTAATTCAGTTAACCCTCCTCCATTTATTTTTTAATTCATCTAATAATTGTGCTGTTAGTTTCTTGACCTCTATCCCCGCTTCACTCTTCTTCTTCAGTTATTCATTCCCACAAACAATCTTTAACTTCATTTTTACCAACATTGTCAAAGTTCACGATCTCAATTTCCAGCATTCTCTTCTTCAGTAACCACTTTTTATCCTGACTTTTCAGTTTTACTTCCTTTCCATTCCACCCAACTGTAAGCATTTATTGACCATTACTTCCCATTCCATTCCCCTTTCTCTACCAATGCATTTGTTGTTATTGTGGGGTTGTGTTTTTTTTTTTTTTTTTCAGTTTAGAACTTTCTCTCATGACACACTTTTATTTATTGTGTAACAGTGTTTTGGTGACAGAAATGTAGAGACAATTATCACTTACATGATGTTACACTATATCTCAGTAAGCTGGGGGAAGAGATTAAAATGTGCATTTCTCTGTCATTCTTCAATAATGCAGTTTTTCTGTTCTCTTTTTCTTAAATTTTACTTTTTCCTGCATTGATATAGCTACCCTAGCTTTCTTGAGTTACTGTTTGCACTATGTATTTGTTCCTTCCTTTTCCCTTTCGACCTATTTGTGTCCTAATATTTGAAGTGTAACACTAGACAAAAATGAAATATGGTTACCCTCATTTCCTTCCCAGGTCACAGTCTCTGTGTTTTCACCGGAAATAGGTATGAGAAAGTATTTCTTATATGCCCATTAATCTTTCACTACTCCCTTTATTTTATTTTATTTTTAAATGATGATTTTTTTTCATTTATTTTTATTAGTTGGAGGCTAGTTACTTTACAGTATTGTAGTAGTTTTTGTCATACATTGACATGAATCAGCCATAGATTTACATGTATTCCCCATCCCGATCCCCCCTCCCACTTCCCTCTCTACCCGATCCCTCTGGGTCTTCCCAGTGCACCAGGCCCGAGCACTTGTCTCATGCACCCAACCTGGGCTGGTGATCTGTTTCACCATAGATAATACACGTTTCAATGCTGTTCTCTCGAAACATCCCACCTTCACCCTCTCCCTTTAAATGATAGTTATATTGTACTTTTCTGTGAAAAATTGGTCTTGTTGCTCACTTATGAACATGCAATTTTCTGTATGCATATTATGCTTTGAAAAGTGTGTGTAAAAACTGTACAATATTACAGTCTCTTTGTCCACTAACAATAAATACAGGGCTCTAAGTGCATTCCACAGTCACAGCCCACTGAGGCTAAAATTGTCTCTTGAAGCAGAAGATCCCTCCAGTGTATGGAGGGATTCCACACAGCATCTGTTTCTCATGGTTAAGACGATTCATCACTGGGGACATTTTTGTCCAGCATTTGGGAGGTAGAGGCTGGTGGCTGTTCATTTTTCTCCTTGAAGCTGTGTTGGATCCCATATCCAAAGTATATGATGGATCCTAGTAGGGAGATGAGACAGTGAGAAGGGAAAGTAGGTGCTCTCCCTACTTACAAATGCCCAATAGGTCTCTTATTACGGCATCTGACATATTTGGGGAGGGCTTCCAGGAAGAGGACTCGCTTCTGTCACTCAAGAGGACTCTTCACCCCAACAAGCCACTTACCAATCCCCATCCAGATGCCAAATTGGACCCAGGTCCCAGCATCCATCTGCATCATCAGGTAAATGTTCACAGAGATGCTCACCAGTGGGAGGACAGGCAGAGCAGGGACCTGTGGGCAAAGTCAGTTCATCCCTGAACACACCCCAGACATCTGAATTAGAGACTCTACCCCAGGAAGAGCAGGAAGACTCCAGTTCTACTCAGGCTGTGTGTTCAGTGGCTACTGAGACTGTGTTTGTAAAGCACCAGTGTGGATGCTGAGTGTGGATCCGGGAAGGGCCCATTGGTTTTAGCAGTTTCCCTTTACTCCCTGACTCAACAAAGATGTTTATTCTTCAAAGCACACAGACTTCATTCACTCCAGATGAACACTTTGGGCACATAAGGTCACCTACCTTGAAGTGAAGAGCAGTGGGGCTCTGGGGCTGCCTCCAGATGATGACCGTGGCCCCAGTGATGAGCAGCAGCAGCAGCACAATCACTGTTGTGAGCCCGGGGTCTCCAGAGAACACCTGGCTGGGCCACTGGGCCAGGATCAGGCTCAGGATGGTCAGCAGGAGAACTGCAAGGGTCAAGATGGAGGAGAACAGGAAGGACCCAGAAGACAAAGATGTCAGGACCTCGGGTCACACCCCTCCCTGAAACCACCAACATCAGGAAGAGCCATCGTATCTCCAAGACTCCTTTTCAAATGCCAAAGACAGAATCCCAACCTGTGTTGTCAATTTCAAAATACAACCAAAGAGAAACCCCACTGCTCACCGAGCAGAAAGGCGCATCCATAGACAATCTGGCCGGATTTCCAGGTGGGGATGCGGCTGGTAGGGTACCACAGAGTCTTCTGAATGCTTGAGATTCCTGCTTCAGGTACAGGTTCTGAAGGACTTGATTCATGATCAGAAATCTCAATTTCCTCCTTTATTTTCTCATTCTTGTTTAAATTTTGGTCTTGTTGGTACCTAAAGGAGTGATATCAAGGCTGTATTCACAGCAGCCCCTAATCATTCAACATCAGACAGCATAATCTACCTCTTTCTTGCCTTAAGGCTAATGAGACATACAGAAGGCAGCAAGAAGACAGAAGCGGATCACCTCCCCATCACTCCCGAGAGTCCAAGACTCTCAACCAAGGTTAGTGAAGCCTCACCTGAGGACAAGTATGGAAACAGCCACAAGGGTGTAATCAGGCAGGACCCCAGCTGACATGAGTTTCACCAGATCAAGGATGCTGAGGAGTGATGCCGTGAACCCTAGAATGAGGGCGGGGGGGAGGGAATGAGAAGTCACTGGATACATTCATGTTAAAGAAATTGGTCAAAGAAAGAATGATCCATTGATGGATGAATGGATATAGAAGCTGTGGTACATATATACAATGGAATACTACTCAGCCATAAAAGGCACGCATTTGAGTCTGTTTTAATGAAGTGGATGAACCTAGAGCCTATTATTCAGAGTGAAGTAAGTCAGTAAGAGAAAAACAAATATCATACATTAATGCATATATATGGAATGTAGAAAGATGGTACTGATGAACATATTCTCAGTCCAGCAATGGAGATGCAGACATAAGAGAACAGACTTATGGACAATGGCAGGACAGAAGGAGAGAGTGAAACAAATGGAGAGGAGCATGGAAGCATATACACTAACGTATGCAAAATTGACAGCCAATGGAAATTTTCTGTATGACTCACGGAACTCGAACTGGGGCTTTGTAATAACCTAGAGGGGTGGAAGGGTGATTTAAGAGGGAGGGGACATATGTATACCTATTCATATTTATTCATATTTTTCTTCATATTCTTCATATTAATCTTCATATTCAAATAAATTCATATTTATTATCATACTTATTCATCTTGATGTATGACATATCAAACTAATTGTAAACCAATCATCAACTGATTAAACAAATAAATATAATTCTTAAAAAAAAAAAAAGGCTTCCTTTATTCACCTGTAAGAGTTCCAGAAGCCAAGATGGCCATGATGGGGGTGCCTGTATGGGTGTGGATCCGGGCAAGAACTTGGAAAAGGAGCCCATCAGCTGCCATTGCATAGATCAACTGAAACATGGAGAACGTGGCCCATAGGAAGCTGGAAGAGAAAGTGGAAACGTGTGAGGATGTGCAGAAGCAGGAGAGACCAGGGCACCCTTGGTTCCTAGTCTACATGGGGTCCTTCCTGTTGACTCTCAATCCCAAGGGCTGGGACACCTGAAAATCTGACAATAGATGAGAAAACCAGGACACTGACCTGTATAAAAGGGTACACAGGAAGACAGCAGCCATGACATATCTGGCAGGAGCCCATCCTACATGGAGAAAAGCCTGTGGTAAGGGGCTGTAAGGGTGAATCTGGTAGTAGGGCACCATGAGGGTGAGCGCCGCTGAGACTCCAGAGTACGCCAGAAAGCCAATGAAGATGGAGATCACCATGCTCAAGGGGACGGAACGCTGAGGATTTGGGGCTAGTTTCCCTGCAGGAGAGATGGAAGTATTGTGTCAGCAAAAACACTGGAATTAAAGCTGAAAATACCCTTTCCTTTTGCATGTCTGACACCAGCCTTCCCCGTCCTTCACCATCTCCCTGAGTTTCCTCAAACTCATGTCCACTGAGTCAATGATGCCATCCAAACATCTCATCATCTGTCGCCCCCTTCTCCTATGCCCTCAATCTTTCTCAGCATCAGGGTCTTACCTTCTACCAACCCCTGTGCCCAGGGGCAACCCAACCAGCAGCCACACCACTGATGGGACACACAATGACCATGTTACCTGCAGTGACCATGCCATAAACACCAAAATAGGAGATGAAAAGTAGAGCTGCTCCTTGGAGAATCCCTTCAAAGCCAAAGGGCACAAACCCTCCAGAACCCAGAGGGCCCAAGCTATGGTGAGAGAATGAAAGAGGAAGAACATGGGTGAGATGAGTTCAGCCACTTCTACTGGGCTCCTCCCTTCATACCTCAAGTCCTGGGCCCCAGGACCCCCATCACCTGGATCCACCAGCCCAGATGTCTTCAGTCCCCACCATGTTCCCAGCTCTGCACCAACACCACCCATATATTACCAAGAGGACCCTCCTGACCTAAAGGTGCTGCTGGGTCCAGATGTGTTTGATCTGTAGTCCTGTTCTGTGAGCTGCCAGTTGTGCAGGTCTCCCTTAATGAAGCCAGAGAGGATCATGAAGATGGGAATAAAAAGATTCAAGCCTGTGGACACTTTGATCATCAGGGTTGTCACACGAGCTCCCAGAACCAGCAGTCCTGTGGGAAAGATGGAATATGAGACATCCAAGGTAATTAAATCCATAGACACAGAAAGCAGGCCAGTGGTTGCCAGGGTTTATGGGGTGGGGTGGCATGGAGGGATAGACCGTGAATGCTCAGTGGGTACAGGGTTTCCTTTCAGGGAGATAAACATGTTCAGAACTAGATGGAGTAATGGATACAACACTGTGAATGGACTAAGTCCCAGTGAATTGCACAATTTGAGAGGCTTTCCTGGTGGCTCAGCAGTAAAGAATCTGCCCACAATGTAGGAGTCACAGGAGACACAGGTTCAACCCCTGGGTTGGGATGATCCCCTGGAGGAGGGCATGGTGACCCACTCCAATATTCTTGCCAGGAGAATCCCATGGACAGAGGAGCCTGGTGGGCTACAGTCCATAGAGTTGCAAAGAGTTGGACACGACTGAATCGATCTAGTGCCCATATAGACACATGCATTTTAAGATGGTTAATTTCTTACTGTGGCCGTCGTCTCACAATGCACATCTATCAAGTCATCAATTTGTACACCTTAAACTTATACAATATTGTATATCAATTATATCTCAATAAAACCAGGAAAAACAATGCATGAGTTTTATGCTATGAGAATTTCCTCTCAATGGAAAAAAAAAAAAATGTTCGCTCTCAATACTGAGGAAGAGTCTTGTCACCTTAAGTAAATTATTCTGAGCTGGGGTGGTTTTTCACTCAAGGAACATTTCCCAATGTGTGGAGACATTCTGATGATCACAGTTTAGCACCAGATTCTAGTGAGCAAGGCTGGAGATGCTACTCAACATCCGACTGTGATTTTTTTTTTTTAATTCCCTACAATATGAAGCTTAGGACAGACCTAGGGTGGGAAACAATTCTCTATGTCTTGACTCCCTTACTCATAACCCTGATCCTTCTTTCCAGTCCTAGTTCTACCTTCTGCCACCTCAAGCCTTTCCTGTACCAGTCCCCCACCCCCACCCCCCGCCAAACCCCACTCTTTCCATCCAGTGTCTGACCCCTTCTCACCAGTCATCAGCAGCACCAGGCCCAACGAAATAAAGTCTGGGTATGGGGCCAGGAAAGAGGACATATATGGAGAGAAAGTTCTCTCTAAGGCTTGAGAGATTTGGTTCCCAATGAGGCTGTCAAAGGTGTAACTCCAAGCCCTTGTTAAGCAGGAAGCAGCTGCAGTGGCAGAAGAGAGGTTAGTGGACAATAATTAAACCTGTACAATGCAGGCAGGGATGTATTTAGGGGGAAAACAGACAAAATACTCTGAAATAGTTCCTTTTCATGGGATTGGGGAGAGAAGAATCAGATGACTCACAAAATAGGTAAACTATTGAACATGTGAGGAGACCAAAGTTATGCAAGAAAAGAACACGGTGAGGTGGGACCTGGGGTGGCTGGGAGATGAGTGTTGAAATTTTAAATCAAGTGGTAAAGGATAACTCCATGAAGGCAACAGCTAAGCAAAGACTTTCAGGGGAAGAGCCTGTGGGAACTGCCTCCCTCTCACCCACCCCCTACAGTGCCCTTTCCTCTAGTTAAGACCCCAGTTACCCTCCTAGTTTACTGACTCTTAAGCCCCACTTCATTCCCCTCCCCATCATCTCACCAGGCACTAAATACAGCAAGAGGTTCCAGCCAATGACGAAGGCACAGAGTTCTCCCATGGTGACGTAGCTGTAGAGACACGCAGAACCGGAGCGTGGTACCCAAGCCCAAAGTTCAGCATAGCAGAGTCCAGACAACACAGAAGACAGGGCGACCACCAAAAAGGAGATGATGATCGCCGGTCCAGTGATGAACATGACCATGACGCCAGCCAGGACGTACACACCAGCGCCCAGAGTCCTGCGCACACCCCAGAGCACCAGGCTGAGGGTGCTCAGCGGAGCTCTGCGACTCTCAGACTCCTCCTGGGGCTCCAGTGGCCGCCTGCGGACCAGCTTCTGAGCAAACTGGTGAACACACTGACGCAGCATCCTAGAGCACACTGACGCAGCATCCTAGACGGAGTTGAGGAGGTTACGGTCTGCTGAGAAAACAAGATACAAAGTCATCAAGCAGGTCCATCCGCCCTTGGCCCTGGGAATCCAATTCCACGGAGCAATGGAGTGATGAGGGGCAGGCGGTACAAGGACACATCGGCAAGTTCTCCACCTCTGCGCTTTGGTTTCCTCAAACATAAATCAGACATTTGATATGCTTCAAACTTGCTGGAAAGGTTGCTTAAAGAGAAGTGGGGGATGGGGGGTGCAGAATACATCTTCCCGAGGGTGCCACTTTGGTTTTTGGGCTGTTTTGAGATGAAGTCAATCAAGATACTGCAGCCTAAAGAAAAGCCTTTTGCCTGTCCCTTCGTGGCTGAAAGTAATTTAGATTAGGGGACCTAACAGTTCCATGTCCCCAGAGAGCTATTATCAGAGAGAACTTCTTGTCTTAGAAAGGCTTATCAGCACAGAGGGGCAAACATTTGTTAACCAATCATTTGCTCTTCTCATCTTCTGTAACCAAGCGGGGCTGATCTCAGAGAGACACAGCCGTGAGCGGCAGCTTGAAGCGAGGTCTTAGTTCTCTGACCAGAAATTGGACCTGGGCGGCCTGCATGAAAACCAGGAATCCTCCTCCTTGTCCAAGATGGGCTAGAGGCTAGAAACAAGGTTTCCCTGGCTATTGCCCCCACTGAAAAATGGGAGGAAAAAACTGAAAAAAAATTAAGAAAGCAGCTTATTACTAGAAACACAACACAACAAGCTGGAGAACACACAGAGAAATAGTTTTTTGTTTTTTGTTTAAGACAGAAGCAAGGCAGAGTTTATGCCTGTAGAGAAAAGACGTGGGCATCCCCATAACGAGTAGGATCCCCATAAAGATGCAGGTAAATTATTCATGCAGGGCAGTTCTTCTCGGTGTGTTTGCCTTTGGCCAACTGTCTGGTTTCTCTTTCCACACTTGACCTGCCCTAGGATCCTCCCCGTGCCCTAGATTTCTTTCTACTAGAGATCCCCCAAATGTTTTTGAAATGCCAACCGATAGGGCTTTGTATGCACCTGTTAAAGCTATTCATGACCGAAGGGTCTCCAATTTCTGGAGCGACCAGCCAGAGACAGAATAAACAGGTTTTATTTTACCCACAAGTGTAAATTAACAGATTGCTGTACATCATAAGTAGCTTGAGGAGAACAGTCTTCTTATGTTTGAAAAAACAATAATTAGAAGCCAATAATTTGCCATACAAAAGTCATAAAGATTATAATCATATTTAGCATTTCATTTGTGGATATTAGTCACTCAGTTGTGTCCAAATCTTTGCAACCCCATGGACTGCAGCCTACCAACCTCCTCTGTCCGTGGGATTTCCCAGGCAAGAATACTGGAATGAGTTGCCATTTCCTCCTCCAGGGCATATTCCAGACCCAGGAATCAAGCCCAAGTCTCCTGCATTGCAGACAGGTTCTTACCATCTGAGCCACCAGGGAAGCCCAGCAGTTCATTTAATGCCATATAATTCACTTCTGCTCCATTTGAGTCCAGTTTTTCTATTGTTTCCGTTGAGCTGGCCTGATGATTAAGGATGCCAGTGACAGTGATAGTTTCAAGAAGTCTGTGAGGTTTTTGTTAAGGCTGGTGTGATTTGTCCAGTGAGGTGAGTACCTTGATCACTGGAGATTATGGAAGGCCTACTCCAAGTGGAATGCATATTTATTTTTTACAATTTTCTTTTCATTGTAAGGACATCAATCTTGCAGCGAGGAAATGCTTTAACCCATCAAATAAAAATGAGATTTTTCAGGGAGCCAGGAAAAGCCGGGCAGTCGTCTTGGGTGTCCCAGAGCCCTGACTATTTAATCAGCAGCTATTGTTTACCCATTTTAAATCCCCTCAGTTAGGAGTAGACCTCTGCCACACTCTTCTCTGGTGGCCCAGATGGTAGAGAATCTGCCTGCAATGCAGGAGACACGGGCTCAATCCCTGGGTTGAGGATTGGCAACCCACTCTAGTATTCTTGCCTGCAGAATTCCATGGACAGAGGAGCCTGGTGGGCTACAGTCATAGTGTCGCAAAAGAGTCGGACACTACTGAGTTACTAATACTTTCACTCTGTTGCTATGCCACAAGGATATCAGGGTGTCCAAAGTCTGACAATAAAGGTTAAGTTTTGTAGAAGAATGAACTTTATCTACATGTGCCATAATCTTCAGAGATCGTGAAATACTCCTTATTTTCTCAACCAAAGTAGTGAGAGATCTCAAAGCAATTACAAATCACTTAGACCCAAAGAGTTCACACAGTCTGTTATCAAAAGCAGCGCTCCAAGAAAACATTGTTCTCTTAATAGAGAAAACCATATTCCAGTCTGGCAACAGCTTACTGTTAATAACAACATTTATTTACCTAATTAATTTTGATTCAATTTTGGAAAGCCCTCTCTATAGATCTTGAAGAGGTAGCTCTTTTGCAAAGGCATCCATGTGAAACCATAACTGTATATATGTAAAGAAAAGACTTAAGAAGGCATGTTTAAAATCTGACTACGGACTTCCCTGCTGAGTCCGGTGGCAAAGAATCAACTTGCCAATGCAGGGGATGCAGTTGGATCCCTGAACCACAAGATTCCACATGCTGTCATGCAACGAAGCTCATGCAGCACAACCACAGAAGCCCGAACCCTGGAGCCCAGATTCTGCAGAAAGAGACGTGACCACAATGGGAAGCCTGTACGCCATAACTGGAGAGCCGCCCCCACTCAGACAACTAGAGAAAGCCAGCCTGCAGCGACAAAGACCAGACACAGCCAAATATTAAATAAATTAATTAAATAGGCTCTAGGGGTTTTCACATTAAAACTGTGATTGCAATGCAATTGACAAAGTAGCTGGTTACTGCTGTGACTTAAAACACTCTCAGAAAATAACTGGAATTATGCCTGATAACATTGCACTTGTTTGTGTTGTGTCTAAGGTAAAGTTGAAGGGGACATAAAGCTTAGA